TTAATTAGCTCGTAAAATTTTAGAAATTTCAATTTTTTTTTTTTGGTCGGTTTTGCGGCAAAGAATCGAACCTTTATACTGGGCTTGCTTAAAATGACAATTTAATAATCGTTTAAATCAGAATTAGAAATTAAAATTTCATATAATTTAATTTAGATTCTATTTGATTATTTTTATTGTTATTCCAATTTTCATATAAATAAAACGTTATAGAGCAAGGCTTAACCCAAACCTAAACTCAAATACAATAAATTTTAATGTATTGCAGCTACATTTGCAAAGATGCTTTTACAAGAGAACTCGAAACCTATTTCTTACTATTGATTATTAGAATGAAAAGGACAAAATATTTATGGTAGAACTTTGATATTTGCATTTGATCGTATTTCAAATACGGTCTATATATATAATCAAAAAACCAAGAGGCAAATGTGTTGTTAAGAATACAAGTATTCAAATAATAAATATACATATGTAATTGGCAATTTTTTGGTAAAAATTTACAACTCACTCACTATGTCAAAATAACTTGAAAAGTCAATTTAATTTTATATAACCATTTACGATAAAACAACAATTTGTCTTGAATTACCAATATTCAATAAATGCAATAAACAAATTATAGGATCGATTTATTATAATTTCATGTTCTAGAAATATACTAACACAATTCAATAATAAAATTAAGTATTATTTCGTAGAAATGCGCAAATAAACCTCTTCACTATACGAGTATAAGCGTTTAAAATTCTCTTGTAGAATCGCAAAGAAACACATACTTTATAATAGTTACATATATCAAGTAAGTAATTATCAATTACTTTTTACACAGATTTAAAACCATTTACCTTCACAATTATTGATCTACTTATGAAAAATAAATATGAAAAAATTTAAATTTGTAAATTTCCCATAAAAATTTTTTAAATATGTGTTTTAAGTTATGAAATTATTTGAATTAAGAATTTTTCACATCACTAATTTAAAAAATTTTGAATAAGTACACAGTACTTTCTTTTGATTTTTTTAATAAGATTATTTTAATTTTAAAAAATCTTTAATACCCTTATAATTAGTATAATTAGTTGTGAATACTTAAAATTTAAAGTAAATAATTACATTAAAAATTATTGTAGAAAAAAAAAATATATTGTACAGTTTTATTATTTTTGTGTCAATAACTTCTTAAATACCGTAAAATACTAAGTGTTAAAAATTAAAGTAATTCTGAAATACAACTGAATTTTTAAATATTGCAATTTTCTGAAAATTGAAAATTTTTATTTTTCTAAAAAAAAGAAAATTCTATTGCGTAAAAAAAATGATTACTTTTAATTTACTAAGATTTTTACTTTAATTTTAAATAAAATCAATAGTTGAGCTTTTTAATAATAGAAAGTAAAATTATCTAATGGTCACATTGTTTGTTTTTCCTTCTTAAATTCAATTATTTTAAAAACAATAGGCTCTCATTATACTTGTGCTTTTCTTCAATGCGTAAAATATACTTTATAGGATCATGATGAAATACTATCTTAAAATCGTGTTTATAATAAATTAATATTGTATCGAAATTCATTCATTTGGAAATATTTTTCATCAATAATATTAAAAGAATATTAAAAAAAAATAATAAATTTTGAAAAACAATAGATTAAATTTTTGGATTATTGTCATAATTTGCAATAAATTTCTAAAAAAACAAACAACTACAACAAAGTACTCGTAATCAAAGTATAATCAAAACTTATAAATATTGATTACTTTATAAAAGTAACAATATTTAAAGAAAATTTTTAACAGAATTAAAAAACATTTTAAAAGTAATCAAAATTTATTAAAAAACTGATTACTTTTTAAAAAGTAACTATTTAAGTTTTAAGTTAATTTTTAAAATTTTGAAATCTTATCTTATTTTTTAAATTGGTAAAATAAAATATTTTATTACAGGGTATATTTTAATTAAACTTTCTAATATTTACAAACGAATTATTTACTCTTATCATAATTTTCAAGTTAAAATTGTAAAAGTAATTGCAAATAAAGTAATTATATGCAATCATATCAAATTGTGTTTGATATAGATTCACTTTAATTAAAAACGTGACGAAGTTTTTTAATTGAATATTGGCACAATTTATTGGTATACTGCATAAATTTTAAAATCAATGATTAATGAATCAATTGTTCTTAATATTATTCATTTTAATATCTCACAAAAGTGAAAAGGAGGCGTAAGAGAACTTGGTAAAAATAAATATTACCAAAATTTGCGAAATGTAGGAATTGGTTTTTAAAATTATTTAAAATTATATGTTTCTAAAATTACTTAAATAAACTGAAAAAGTTCCAAATTAACTACACTAACCAAAATAAAATACTTTTCAATATCGATACAGCAGAAAATATTTTGACTTTTCATATTGATTAAGGTTAGGTTGGATAAGGTCGACGAGGCTACCGTAAGATACGCATAGGTCAGGATCACGAAAGCCAACCCACGTTTTTCAGAAAGCAACTATAGTCCCGAGAACTTGCATTTGCCAGATCCGTTATCCGTAAAATGAAAAATGACCAAAGACATCTCGGCTTGTTCCCTGCCAAAGCTGGACAAGAGCAAAGAGGAACGGCCACCGTCTCCCCCTCGTGCTCGTCAAAGCAGCCCCTGCGTAATGACTTGAGGCAATACCATTTAAAAAATCATATTTCTATTAAATTAATCATGTTCAAATATAATTTTATAATACGAGTAATTAATTTCATTATTAATTAATTTTAAAAATTTTGAAAAATAACTTAGGAAACCACAAAATATTAACGTAATTTTTAAAATATCCCCAAAATATATTGTTTACACACATGAATTGTAAATATTTACATATTCTATTTAATGCCAAAATATTTATGCAACCCTATTTTATTATAATTTTTTTTTTATATTCATTTAATATGTAATATTATAAACAATAGTGAATCAACGATTTTAGAAGTAAACGTAAAAGCGAAAATAAAATAATATTTTAATACTAAAGGTATAATATAAAATTATTTACATATATATTATATTTACTTTTCTTTTGATTATAGTAAAATAAGCATTCTTGTTTCCCCGCGAAGAAGGAGAAGAAGAAGGGGGCAGGCGGGTGAGGGAAGAGAAAGCGGTGGTCGGAATTCATTTATTATATTATTATGTCTATTCTATTTAAAGCAATATTATTACAATAATATAAATATAATATTTAGGTCTAATGACTTTAGTATAATAACACCATCGAATATTAATGAAGGACGTCGTATGTTAGAAGTGTAAAATAAAAATGTATAATTGTATTATTTAATATTTGTTTTTTTTCTATTTCTGATTTTTTGATTTTTTAAAGACCTAATTTTGAAATAAAATTTTATTCTATTATTTTAATTTTTTTTTTCTTTTTCATTTATTTGTTGCCATTACAAAAGAATTTCAAGAGTTTTTTGTTTTAAAGAAAATTCTTTTCAAACAAATGAAGGAAAATTTTAAATTTTTGTTCAATTTTTATGTATGTTCACGAGTATATACCATATGTATATAAAAATAATTCTTATATATTTATAAATATGTAATAACATAATCTTAAATGAATGAAAAAAAATAAAAAACTTTCTATATTTAATGACTTTTTAGTTAGAAATTTGTTTTTGAAAGTTCGATGGCTTTTAATATGGGGAGTAAATGTGACAGAAAATTGCAAAATATTATAAAATATTTTCTAAAACAATCACATTTTTTAAAATTTTATGCTATTGTTTTTGTATTTTTTTTAGAAAATACCTATTTTATTTACTTAATCTATATATACCATACTGAAAAATTTTATTTTATATTGAGGAAATATGAAATTTCCGAAAATCATAAACCATAACATGATTAATGAGAAAACATACAATAAATATCACAAGAAAAAAAAAATAATTGTACAAAAATTCCATGATTCGAAAAGAAAAAAACTATGGTTAGAAAAAATAATAAAAAAAAAAGAAAATTCAAAGGAAAATGAATATTAAAAGGAATGACTGACTGACTGACTGACTGACTGAATGACCGACTAAATAGCTAACTGATTGATGAATCAAAAAACCAAAGAAAAAAACAATGTAAAAGAGGAACAAAAAATTGAAACTGGGCCAATTTTATAAATTTTTATATGTATTATTTTTGGTATTTATTGTTTAAAAAAAAAAGCTGATTAGTCCCCATTTTTAGTTTTAATTTAAAAAAACGACACCAAGTAAAGTGTTATAATTATCTAAAAGTATATTATGAAATCGACAATATTCATGCTTAAATTAAAATTAAATCAAAGGTCGAACATCTAGTCGAACGATAATGGAAATTTCTCAAGTGGTGAGATTTCATTTCTGCTATTATTAAAAATTCTAAAAAGTAAACCAAGACCTAATTTTAAAAAATTTCGCCTACAATATTCCATTAATAAAGTTTGTTAATGATATTTCGATGAAATATCTCGGTTAAAACAAAAAATTTATATTGGAAACTTTAGTTTTTACAAGAATATTGCGAGCAAATATAATGTAGCAAGAGCTTGTTGAATTATTTAATATAATGAAATAAGCTTTTTGATCCAATTCAAAGCCATCATTTATCAAAATTATTTATTTCAAAATATTATACAAATTTAATTAGAGAAGTTTTTTTCTTCTTCAACAATTCGCTTTAACAAAAGTCAAATGTTTCAAGAGTTTCATCAAATGACAATTTTGCAATATAATTTCTTTAAATTTTAATATATTTCAGAAAAATTGCAAAATTTCGAGATATTACAATTTGAATACATTTACATATTAAATAAAATAATAATTTTTTTTTAAATTTTCTGTAACTTTTCTAATGAGACTTCAAGAAAATTCATTATTGTAATTAAAATTTTTGAATTTTCCATTAATACTAAATAAAAGATTTCATATAATATTTTTGAAAAAAGTATTATGTATATACTTACTCATTTATTTCATCATTTGTAATAGGTTGTGTTCTAAAACGGCTTCTAGTTGTTTCTCTTCTTGATGTTGAAGCTAGTTTTGATGTAGCACCAGCTGCAGCAGCAGTAACAGCTTCCATATTACGTATACGTTCAGCTACTGATATAAAAGGTTTCTCTTCTGGTGATATAATTTCTGGTGAACTAACTTGATATGATCTCATTGAGATATCAATTGCTTCATCTGGATTATCTAAAGAGTGACTGCGTTGCATTAATATTGATTCTGTATTTATGTTTTGAAGTTCAGCACCCAAAGAACGTCTTTTAGATGGTGAATTTGAATTTTTTAATATTGGTCTCCATAAACCATGTCCACTACCGCTACCACTTCCACCACCACTACTTGAACCGGAACCACAACCACTGCCTATAACACCATCATCAATATCTGATGATGTACCTAGGGCTAAACTTTCTTCACGACTAGATTTTCGAGAAGTTTTAAGTATTGGCCTTATTTCTTCAGTCTCACTAGATGCTTTTTTCTTAAGTATCGGTTTTGGTTGACGTATTGTCATTGAATCTTGATCTTGACTATAATCTGTTTTAAGTATTGGTTTTATATCATAATCACTAATAATTATTCCATTACTATTTATATCTCCACCACTATTCGTCATTGGATTATTCGTATTAGATGTATTATCAATGCACATATCCTTACATAATTCAGCAGCAGCTAATATCACAGCCTGTGAGATCGATATATGTCGTGTTGGACCACCGCTTGATTCTGGTGTTGATGTTGAATCTTTCTTCTTTAATATACCATGCGGTATTTCAGCACTTGGGCATCCGTCACTTTTACTTTCATAGCTACGCTGTTTTAAAATACCATGAGATTGTTGTTGTTCTTGTTGTTGACTTGGACCTTCTTCTAAACTATTACGACGTGTAGTCTTAACTAAAATACTACGCTCATCGGGTGAATGTGAACGACTATAATAACGTGATTCATCTAAACTACTACGTTTCTTTAAAATTCCTTGACGTTTAGAACTACTACTACGTGTTGGCGTATCAACTACATTTGATGAAAATGTTACTGGTGATGCATTACTAGATGCTGAACTAGATTCAGTATGATCTTTCTTTTTTAATATAGAAACTATATGATTACTAGCAGATGTGGATGAATATGGATCATCAGAACTTTTACGACGCAATGATGATTCTTTAGCGGGACTAAAATCACGATCTTGACTATAAGCTTTATGAACACGATAATGTGATCTTTGAAAACTAGAATGTGGTTCATCTGAGAAATGATGTACATCGTCATCAAAACTGATGCGATCTTTTTTTACAAATGATTTTACCAAATTACTAGGTTCTACTTCATTAGTTTCATTTAATTTAAGTTCTACAATTTCGATTGGTTTTACCTCTTCGATATGTTCAATTGGTTTATTATTCATTTCGACATCGTTTTGTTCTAATATCTTTGATCCATTTAACTTTTCATCTTTTGTATTAACAGAATCAAAATACTCACTGCTAGCAGCTGCTCCTATATCAATTGTAAAATAACGTTTTCTTTCGGCAGGAATTGGTTTTTCTATAGGACTTATTGGCACTTCAACACTATTAGTTGGTAAATTATCTAATGCTGGGGTTAAACTTCTACATTTTGCTGTAATTTTTTGTATTTCAGCTAATTCAGATTTTGTACGTTGTCGTATTGCATCAACTTTCCGTGAAACATCTGATAATCGTTTATTTTTTCGTAAATATTCATTTTCAGTTTTTATTCCTTTTGCTAAGGATGATGTTAAATCACCAAATGGTGATTTACGATTTATATTATTTGATGATTTTAAATCAATTTTAAGTGATCTACTTGGACTAGGTAATTTATTTTCGGTAGTATTATTAGTTAAAGTTGTATTTACTGTTGCTGTTGTTGGAATATTTGAATTCTTTAAACGTGGACTAGTTGTATTAGCACGTTTTTTACTTATATCTACTATTTGATTTGTTATATCTTTTTTAGAAATATCCTGTAAATTTATATTACTTCGTGTAATTGATGATAGAGGTGTATTAATATCAGATTTTTCTTGTTGTTTTTGTATTGCTTTTACAGGTCCCAGTACATCACGTAAAGCCATTGATGTTTCTTCAGTTGGTATTAATTGACGTGACATTCCTAGTTCTCGACGACGTCTTCTTCGTGTTGCAGCATCATCTACAAATACATATACGAATTTAATATTTTGTATTATAATGTTATATTAATATTATGACAATGGAATTAATAATTAATTAAAAATGTCAATTAAACAAAAAGAATAAAAATTATTAAACTAATTTAAATGTAGTTTCAAAGTTTTAGATTTACTTACGAACAACAATTCGAACAGTGCACAATGAAAAATTAAAAATGTAAATTTTTGCTACCATAATGAAAATTTTTTTTTCATTTATCCTTTAAATACAAAAAAGTAAGAAATTTTTACTAATATTTCGCACCTCAAAATTATTAATATTTTTATTTTTATTTTAAAAGTCTACTACGAGTACTATGATAAAAATATCATGTCAATTTTTTACATTTTGTCATCAATTGATTTTGTTTTCCATTTTTTACACAATTTTTTAATTCACTTAAATCAATAGATTTTTGCTTTAGAAGAAATCATATAAGCCCGTAACTAAATAACGTGGGGACGGTGCCTTTATGAATGTTTATTTAAACGGATTTTTCGTAATTAGCGTTCTCAAAGAAAAATGAAGAAAAAAAAATTAATAAAATACAAAAATTTATTCCTTGGTTTTTGTTTTTAGGGCTTCTTTAGATGTCATTTGCATTGCTTACATTGTACAATGACATACAACGGCAACAAATGATGAACACACAAAAGAACAAAAAAATTTATTTAAAATAAAAACAATTAAAATAAAAAATTAATATTAGTTGTAATTCTGCCCGTTTTCGATTTTATCTTCTTTTGATAATTCGTCGCCGTAGCTGTGTGCTGTCCAATACCGATAGTTACCAAAGTAGAACTGATTTCTAAAATTTTATTCTCTATATGAAACAAAATAATTTTACCTTCTTGCCTTTATTATTTTGTATAAATAACAACATAATAAATAAAGAAAATCAAAATTTAAATAATAATAATAAAAAAGAACAATAAAAATATGAAAAACAAAAAGTTCTAGATAATTTTTTTATGCTGAATGTTTTCTATTTCAGAAATGAAAAAAAAAACATAAAAATTTCGCCGCCTCTTACAATTAATCTGAACTAGCCTAAAATATGTATGCAAAAGAAAATGATAAAATTTTTAGGCGGCAATATTGTAAGATATTCAAAGACGGGTAATATTGAAAAATTTTATAGTTTGAAAATTGTATAGTATGTTTTTCAAAGTGACAGCCAAAATGCAGTCATAAAAAAATTTTTCTGCAGTATAACTGAAATATTAATATTCCATATAAAAACTTTAAAAACGACTGCAATATAAAAAAATGCAAAGCAGTTTAAACATTTTGGAACACTATATTAGCAGTTAAAAACAAATGAATGTCAAAGGAACGAGTTTTGGTACCAAATATTTCAACAACACATTGGTTAATTTCAAGAACATGAAAAAGCTAAGCAAAATTAAAATTCATTTTTAGCAATTTGGATACTTCAACATTGAATAAATTTTTTATTTACGGTATGGTTCACAGATATAATGTTGTACTTCATTAATACTACGTTTTGCGTGTCGGGGATATTAGAAAACTTTATCGTGAGCGGGGTACAGTTTTAAGAATTTTAATTTTGAAATAAAATGAAATCAGATCTAAAAATAAAACTTGTAAAGTTTTCATAATAGCGTTATGAACGTATAACATTTTTATAAATACTGTTAATTTTGTCTTGCGCTTTAAATGGTTAAAAAATGATAATTGACAACATTGAAAAACGAAAAGCTCTTCAAAAAATATTTTGTGAGTGAAGGAGAAGTTGAAATATAAAAAAAAAAAACAAACAAATAAACCTATTTTACGGTAAATAATGTTGTAGTATGTTTAATAGCAGTGACACAGATTTATGGGAAGGGTGGAAATAAAACTTAAACAAAATATCAAAATTATCTTTATAGAAATGAAGGTGCAGAATAGAATTAGATATTGATAAGGCGATAAATAATCAAAGGATAGTCAAAATCTAAGCTAGATAAAAAAAAATGGAATTCCATAAAAATTAAGGCCGATCTAAAACATGGAAGCATTGGAATTTTCGTAAATTTATCAATATTTTTTTATTCCGATAATAAAAACAATAAAAGTCGAAATTTACTTAACACCTAGTTATCGTAATTTTTTTTTTTCAAATTAAATAAAATTTATATTCTACTAATTATTATATATTTAGCTCATGTATTTTTAAACAGTCTACATATTTTATAGTTTAACAAAACCGAGATTTAATTCTGATTGTAAGTATAGAAGTGGTTGTTTGTGAATCATTCCGTCAAATAAGCCAATATAAGCATGAGCACCACTAAATATTCAAAAAATATCGGGGCTGTTAAGTTCATTTGGCGTTTAACTGAAGACGATATTAAGTACGTTGCGCGTTTCTGAACCATTGTTATAAAGGAATATGAAAAAAAACCCAATATTAGTTATCAACTTTCCAAAATGGCGTATTTGTGATTATAATGTTGGCCATAAGGGCTAAGGTAAAAATTTGCATCAAAAAAAATTTAGGAGTTTTAAGTACCGAATTCATCTACTTTCAATTACAATGTTAACATTTTGTTTGAAGGGGCGTCGCCTTCCAAAATTCTACATGCATTTCATATTTGCCGACCCTTCCAGAATTCTATGTGCGTTTTATTCCCTATAAAAATTGTTTTATTTACATATTTATTTATTTTAGTTTTAATATTGATTTTATAAATCAGATTTCATTATAAGAATAAAGAAAAGTAGAATAAGTTTTTTTATCTTTAAATAATATTTTAAAAGAAAATGAATAACGGTTTTATTATTTATTTAATAATTGGTTTTTTACATGTTTGCATTGTTTGTTTTATTATTTTGTATTTTGTGTGCCTGTTTTTATTCATAATGTTGTTCTTTTAGGGTTAGTATGGTGGGGAAAAGAAAACAAAAAACCAATAGTAAAAAAACAATATAAGTGACACGGTGAAGGTGGGGTTGAAAAAAGCACACAGAATATGTGTGCATGTAAGTTTAGATAAAACATAAATTTCAAAAAATTAATGTTATTTTGACGGGATTTCGAACAATTATTTAGCATGAAATCAACTTAGGTATGTTTCTATAGTAAAAACAGAATAAGGGTTATTATATTGGTTCCTATTCATTTTCGAATTTCTAATTTGCCTGCATTTATTTTCTTAAAAAATAAATAATATCAATGTTGCGAAGTTGACGAAAATAAACAGTTTTATTTTTTTTTGGTTTCTATAATAACGGGAATAAACGAAATGCTTATATATTCATTAATTGGAAATTTAATTAATAAATCACTTAAATTGTATTTTATAAATACGGAATCTCCCAGAATGTCATTTGTAAACAATTTGCAAAATGTGTATAAGTGACAATATTGTATGACGCTAGCGTCATGAATTCTAATTCTAAATATCAAGCGCAAGGGAATTTGATGACGTCAATGAAATTTTAAAGTCAAAATTGAAAAAATTTACAAACTTGCAGAACCTGTATGAAAATTAATTTTATTTTCCGATCATATTTGTAATATTAAAATTTTGAATTTGATGACGTCAATGAAATTTTAAAGTCAAAATTGAAAAAATTTACAAACTTGCAGAACCTGTATGAAAATTAATTTTATTTTCCGATCATATTTGTAATATTAAAATTTTGAAAGCAAGGTGCCTAATTTCGTTCGGACTTTTAACTAAAATTAAAAAAATATGGGAAAATTGTAATAGGAATTTTATTTATATATCACTAGGAAATTATAAAAGTGATCTTTAACAATAAAGACAGATTTCCAATTGGTTGAGTATGTAATCAAATGTAAAAACGTAATGGGTTCTAAGCCAAATCTAATACTAATAAGCAAAAGCTAATATATTTGTAAAAAAACTATAAAGAAACCTGGGTCTAATCGGATTGCTATGACTAAATGAAATTCCTAACACATCTAACTTTTAAACGTGAATATAATATCTATAAAGCAAATGCAGTATCAAAACAAAATACTTAGTGATCGCTATTAAAACATTTCAATTGGAATGTATAAAATATTCCCAAAGTGTTAATTAATTTTGGTTTCTATAAAAAAGATAATTGACATTTTTAACTGAAATTTCATGAGCTTTTCATGCTCTTTTTCTTTACCATTTTCATTTGATTCTTCATTTCCTGTTCTATTGCCTATTGACTTTTTCTTGAGCATTTTACTAGGCATATTAATATCCTTTGTAGGTGATTGCACCTAAAAATAAAATAAAGTTATCAATTAAATGAACTTTTGCAAAATTGTTAATAAATTTTTTTTAAATACTTACAGTTGCCGTCAATTTAACAGGACTAATATTTTCAGAAATTAAATTTATTAATGGTTTTGTCATTGATGTTGAATTTAATGTAGAACTTCTAGGTCTTGAAGATTCCGTTGAACATGATGAACTTCGTTTTGAATCAATACCATTATTATTTGAACTGTAATCATCATTTTCAGATATTTTAATTGAAAATGGTGATGGACTTAAAGAAGAAATTCTTTCACATGATGGCATACGAATTTGTTCAAGCTCATTTAAAGCTGTTGCACTTGATGGATGAAGTACTTGATTACTATTGGAACTTGATAAAGATCTATAACAATAAAAAGAATATTATGTTAAGTATTAAATTCTATATTTTTTTGATATTATTAGAAAATTCTTACTTTTTGCCTATTATCCTATTGTTAGATGAGCTTGTAAGTGATGGACTATTACGAGGTGATGATGTTACTGATGGTGATTTTCTATTACTAATTGAACCAGTCTTACGTCTTATAGGAGAAATATTTCCTGTATTTCCAATTTCATTTGATAAAATTTCATTTAATTTATTTGCTCCATCATTACTACTAGCACTTGCAGAACGTTCCGGTTTACGTTTTGGTGAATAGCGAAATGATGAACTATTTGATATTGTTACCGGTTGATGTTCATCATGTGATTCTTTCTTTTTATCTAAAAATTAAAAATAAAAATAAATTAAATATAAAATTATTTTTAGAATAGAAGAAATAATACCTAAAGCAGCTGCTCTTAAACGAGAAGCTTTCGTTGTTCTAACTATTTGATGATTAAAAGGTGATGTTAAATTTCTTGAATTATTAACAACACCAATTGAAGAATAATTATTATTCACATTCATATTAGAAGAATCTAAACATAATGAAGGGCTTTGGTTACCATTCAAATTTTGTGTTCCAGTAGGCTCTAAAATTAGTAATAAAAAAATATATTTAGTTTTAAAATTAAATGGGGTAAGAAAATGAATTATTTAATAAGTTACTTATGTAATTACCAGAAGTTCGACTGGAACGTAAAGTAGATCTGAAAATAGCAAAAAAATGAAAAATTAGTAAAGACCAATAAATTAATATTTGAATTAATAATAACTATTTTATAACTATTTACAAGATACTAGTTTTAAATTTTTTAAATATTGTTCTAAAATCGTCCCAAAAATATTAAAACATAATTTTTAAACTTTCTTCCAGTGTTGTATAATTAGTTTTAAGCATAGGTATCAGAGATAACCAATTTTTAATTTATTTATTTGAACAGTAAGAGAATCTTATATTGATTTCTGAATTTAATTTTCTACTTCTATAAAAAATTAAATTTTAAAATGACCCCAAATATTTCTGTTTGAAATCTATTATTAAATTACCGTATTCTTCGAAGAATTTTCAAAATAAGTACCAATCGTACCATTTCAACAATTCAACTGACTGTTTTTACAGTATTTATCATTGTTTTACCGTCATTTTTTACTTTTGATTTTTATTTTTGTCTATATTTAAATACAAAACTGTTATTAGATGGCGGCATTCATTTATTTATAAAATTACATTTTTTTTAAATTTTCTTAATGACTGTAATTTACACGTAAGTAATTGTAAAATTGTAACGATAATGACTTTTATGTTTACTTTTCACACAAATATTATGAAAAGTATGTCGGAATATTTTTAAAATATTTGTAATTTTGCTCTCTTCTTTAATAGATGTATGTATTTAAAATTTGGAATTATATTTTATATTTTTGAAAATAAATGTTAGAATTGATTAAGGAATTTAAAAAAAATCTATGTAAGAAAATTTAGAATTTTTCGAAATTAAGAATTGTGTCAAAGATAGTAAAATGGGAAACTAGTTAAGCAAAGTTAAATACAGTAACATTATACCGGGCAATTATACTGTAAATTTTAGCTAAGTACTTACATTAGCGATATAAAATAAAGAGTCTTCTGATATAGTAGAATTAAAAACAGTTTTACTTGAGGAAGGCTTACTAAACTTATAGTATATAATACAAAGGTTGATTTGATAGAAAATGATAATATATATTCTAATCAAAAACGTAAAAATACTGATGATTTAAATGGAATAAAGTGCAGCAAGACATAAAATTGTTTCAATGAAATAAGTTTCATTAAAATTGCATACTTTTAGGCGAAGCAAAAAAAAAATCCTGTCATTTGCTTTACGAATTTAAAAAGAAGCAAGAACGTTTTATACGAAAAAAGTTTTGCAAATTTAGACTCATTGACTAGTATAAATTAAAGTGTAAATGTAATTCCCTATTTCTTCTTCCCCCCTCTAATTAATTTTTTTTTACATAAAATATTCATTTCTTACCTTCCTTCTTCTGTTATATTTTCTGATTGATTAACTATAGTACTATCACTATTATCACATTGAAATTTAGTACTTTTTTCTATATTATCATTAATTATAATATTATTATCATATGAATTTTTCATTTCATTATTATCATCGATATTAACATTTTCTAATAAATTAGAATCGATTTCAATTATTGAAATTCGATTATTTATATTAATATTATTATTATGATTTGAATTATTAATATCAATATTATTACGATTATTATTATAATTTTCTTGATTTGAATTAATATCTTGATTAATTAAATCCTTACTATTAAATATTATTAAATTTTCTTTATTATTTAATGATTTTAGTTGTTCTTGTTGTTTTTGTTTCATATCAATATCAGTTATATTTTTATAACCATTTTCTGAAATTCCCATAATATTCTTTGATATTTTATAATTATTAATCGAATTCATCAATTCATTTGATGATCGATTATTATCGTTAGATATCAAATCAATATTATGTAGTACTGTTGTTGAATTTTTATTGCTGTTACATGGATATAATATTGAATCAGTTGTTGTTGTTGTTGTTGTTGTTGATTGTGATGATAATGATAGTTGTGTTGGATAATTGATTGTTGCTGTTGTTGTTGTTGTTGTAAAATTTTGATTATTGTTGTAAATTTTTGTTTCAGCATCTGTTATTTGATTATTATTATTATTTGTAACTGTATTTATATTTGATGTAATAGTATCACAACAAGCATCGCTCATATTTTGCAATGGTGATTGAATTGAATAATAATTGTTCGGTGTATTCGATGATTCTTTTTCTTTGCATATTATTTCATAAAGCGCACTAATTGGACGTGATTCACTAGTTACATTTAATAAATTACTGTTACTATTATTATTATTACTAATATTATGATAATTACTATAATTATTATTATTACTATTAATGTTACTATTAGAATTACTACTATAAATAATAGTATCACTGCTTATTGAAGGCTGCTTATAGTTAGAACTTGAAAATATCACTGATGATGACGACGATGTATTACAATAATTGTTATCATCAATATTAGAATTTAATTGATTATTTTGTTGAATAAACGATGATTTTTCTTGATTTTTATTGTTATCAATAAATGATTGTTGTTGATTTATATCATCATGTTGATTATTTGATTTTCCAATGTCATTTATCGGAAAAAATTTATATTTTGGTGAGAATCGATCGTTGTTTTCTTTATCAATTAACAATTTATTTTGATTATTATTATTATTAGATAATGACGTATTGAATGATGATGATGATAATGATGGTGTTGCTATTATTGATAAATTACCGGTATTTAAAGAAATTGTTGAATTATCTATGGGACTAGTTTTAATTGGAACAAATCGCTTTTGATTATTACTAATATTATTGTAATTATTATTTGAAGTTTTATAATTTAATAATGGTGAAGGAATTGAATAAACACTTTCATAATTAAGATTAATTAAATCTTCACTACTATTAGTATTTAATATTGGTTCTATTATTTCTTCTGTTGTTGATTTTTCAATATTATGGTTTTTATCTAATAATATTTGATGAAATTTTTTATATTTTTGTTCTGTATTAACTGGACTACAACTACTACTAAAATGCTGCCGATTTTTTATATTTCTTTCTAATTCAGATGTTACACGTAGTGGTGATAATGACAAATTTTCACGTTGCGTATTTTTATTAAGCGATTTCTGTGATAATTGGCAGCTTTTATTGGCAGTGATTGATGAAGACGATTTATTTTCCAAATCGATTAATAATGAATTATTCGGCACGTCTGATTCTATAAATAAATTAGAATAAAAAAAATTCAATTAATTATTTTCGAAAAAAGTAAAAATGTTTTACAAACTATTTTTTATAATTAAAATTAAACATTTTTTAAAAGGGGTGTGAGTTGATTGATTTTAAGTAGCCCGTGTTATGGGTGAATAAATAAATAATAAATTCTTGATTTGTTTTAAAAATAAACAATAACACGGAGACTAATAACAAGATAATTTGGAAAGATTACATATTTATGTGCGCAATTATGACCCTAAAATCGTCTAAACATGAGTTTCAACATAAAAACTCTGTATTTAATTAAAAATTTATACCTGATATTGCCGACTTTCAGCTTACGTATTGAAACAATAACCTCAAAGTTGTAAAACTATTCTGTTGCTACACAATTCAGCAATTAACACTCATAAGCTGAATTGTGCATAGATGGCGTATCATTTAAATTTTCATGTCAGGGTAAATATGACACACAATATTGATTAAATATTGATTAAAATTGGTTACTGAGCATACAAACATATAGATAGTAATTGGACAGCAATTTGAGACTAAAATCACGTTCCTGCCCTCTATACTATACAATATTTAATTTAACATTAAAATAATAAGTTCATGCTAGCATAATTTATTTTCATAATAGCATTGCATCATATAGAGTAAAATTATTTTCTATTACACTCTGGCAAAAAAATTCTTAATCCAATTAGAAAAGAAATCGTGATATTTAAAAAAAAAATAATAGGAAAAACCTGGCCAAGTGCAAAAAATGAAACAAACACCAAACACTTTGTTCAGTTTTTTTTTTTGTAAGGTTAAATTTGTTTTTGTTTTTATTTATTATAATAACCATTGAATGATTTTTGTAAGAGCTAAAAGCAAGCATACCTATGCAAATACACACAAACATGGGCACATTCATATCATCGACACAAATAAATGGTATTAAACAAAACTTTTATACCAAAAAGAAGTGAACTGGAAATTATGAATGTGTTTGACATTGAAGACCTAGAAGTGCATTATTCGCTAAATTAAGCTCTTACTGCATGCTATACACCATAACGACTAGATTTTTGCATATATACTGTATACACTTTAAGAAGAACAGGTGTAAAGCGAATATAAAAATAAAATAAGAAAAATTAATTCAATTATTTAAAAGAAGGCAGAAAAAAGATAACAGTAAGACTCATTTAAATTTGGTGACTTAAACTTTATTATATTTTTTTGCCGAAATGTCAAAATAAAGGCAAAATATGACATTGAAATTATGTCAAAAAAAGTCGACCGGGGAGAAAATTTTGTTTTTAACTCTGATGTCAATAAAACCTAAATGTCAATTATTAAATATTTAATAATAATACTAAGAGAACAATTTCAGGTTTCGCTCCTTTTACGTAATTTCAACTTCATCTCTCTTACTTTACACAAAGTATTCAAATTTGGGAAGACATTAACAAAATAAAACAAATTTCTATTTGTTTTTAGCCTCAAATATATGAATTGTCTTGAAACTTTTATTATATATCACTAAAATACTCCATTGGGCATCTTCTCTATGGGTCCCCATGTCTTACAACCATTGTCTTTATTTTATGGTACTATAAATGTTAATATAACTAAGTGACATTGTATATTAAAACAAAATTTACAATAATAATGAAGTTCAGTTTTACATTTGTGCGCTGAAATCAAAGTCAAAAAGAGGTGGGAATAAAATTTTTAATTCTTACCAATTCATAATAAAATTTTTATTACTTGTTATTTGTGTAAAGAAAAATTATAGTGAACGATTTAAATTGAAAGGGTTCACCTTAAAATAAAAAAAAAATATTTTCAATGCTTTAGGTGTTTGAAATCAATCTTGCGTGGAACACAAGAATACTATTTTGAAATGATAATAATAAAATATTATGTAATCTGGAGTATTATTACTCTTAATACCAAAGATCTAAAATTATTTTTTGACATCGATAATTATTGCAATAATCTTATATAATTTTAAGATTACAACAATATATCAAATTTTCAAATTATCATGAATATTATAACAATTATATTAATTTTCAATTATTATTAATTTTAATTGGAATAATCTTTGAATATTGCAATATTTTCAATATAATTTTAAATTTGCTTTACCATATTGTGAATTTAGACTTTTTAAAAAATTTATTTCACCTTTAAAAAACAAAAATTACCTATCACATATTTTAATCCCACACCATTTTTTTTTTTTTTGTTATTACTAATCACCTAATTAAGAATGACTAAGATATTATAATAAATTCGAGAATTTCAAGATGAAATTTGTATCATCCTAAATAATTTAAATACTAAAATTTAAATTTAAAATAGTATTACATGACCTTTAATAATAAGAGAAACAAAACACTATAAATAAAAAGAAATTTCTCTTACGTCCCCATTCTTCCTCTCATTCAATAATTTTGTATTTAATTGAGTCACACTTTGTTTACAAATAATCTGAAATTTTAAAAATGGAAAAGCCTCGAATCGAATAAAATAATTTTTATATTGATAAAAATTGAATTTTCGTTAATGAAATTAACCTTGAAATTATATTATGGAAGAAGAAAACATTACTTGTAGTAAATAATGTAGTAAAATGAATTAAAAATTTGCAAAAATTAAATTTTTTTTTTTTAATTTTTATTCATAATTATTATTTTTCAAATTTAAATTTTCTAATAAATTTAGTTTTCTACTTAAAATATGTAAAATAAAATAAGAAAATCAAAGTGTTTCAAACATTTGCTACTAGGGATTGCAATTTACCGTCGAAAATCATTTACCGGTAATCCGATAAATTTCTTCTCAATTATCGGTTTACCGATAATTTACCGATAAAAATTTAATTTTTGTTTTGTACATATAAATGCTTTATTAATTCAAATTAGTTCTACTTTAAATTATTATTTTGGATTATTTTTATTCATAAAATAGGTTCGCAAGAAACAAAGGCAATTTAATGTATAATCGCTTAATCTAGATCTAATTTTAGTACAAAATAAACCGGCCGATGAAAAAGCTCTTTCGGCTTCTACACTGGTCGGTTTAATTGTTTCTAAATATTTATATACCATTTCCAGATATACTCCACGTACTCAATATCTTCATAATGAACCATTTCCCTCTTAATAATTTTCATAAGTTCTTTACCATTTGTTTCTTTTGAACTTTCAGAGAACACTTTCACATAAGGACAGTATGTCTTTAATAATGCGTTTCTCAATTTGAATCTTCAAAATTCCAAAGCAACCAAGATTTGATTGATTTTCGTCATTTTATCAG